AATTTATGAAATGAAAAATTTTCACTGCTTTTAATTTTATCCAGTTCCTCTTCGAGACCTTGTCTCGGAAAAAACATAGATTTCTAGTTAATTAGTTTAATCGTAAACCCACCACATATTTATTCATGAATTAGTTGTTTCTTATGTTTTCGCCGGACTCTTTATGTGGTAACACCACCCGGTAGGCTACATCCGTTTGTTTTGTTAGCTTGCTCGTCATCGTTAACGATTCTCCAGCTCCATTTCCTTCTTCTTTCAAAGTATTGTTTTTTATTTTCCAGGTGACTAAACTATTTCCCGGACATTCTCCTGAAGTCATGCGGTTCTTCCTGCTCGTTGCGCTGGCGGCTCTGTCTCTGGGCCCGGCGGAGGTGAGCGGATCGGAGAAGAAGAAGCTCCAGATCGGCATCAAGAAGCGGGTCGACAACTGTCCCATCAAGTCCCGCAAGGGGGACGTGTTGAACATGCACTACACCGGCAAGCTGGAGGACGGCACCGAGTTCGACAGCAGCATCCCCCGGGACAGACCCTTCACCTTCACCCTGGGGACCGGGCAGGTGATCAAAGGCTGGGACCAGGGCTTGCTGGGCATGTGCGAGGGCGAGAAGAGGAAGCTGGTCATCCCCTCGGAGCTGGGCTACGGAGACCGGGGAGCTCCCCCGAAGATCCCCGGAGGAGCCACGCTCATCTTCGAGGTGGAGCTGCTGAGCATCGAGAGGAAAGCGGAGCTCTGACGAACAGGAAACCCAATAAAAAACAGCTTTAAAAAACGTAAGTTTGTCCTATATGTTTGAAATGAAAATAAGTTTTTAACACGACTAATGTTTCTAAGATTAAACCTAAACATTTAATATTTTTTATTATTATTATTTATCTTTCAGGTTCCAACAGGTGTTGCTTTTAACTGAGATCATGACGTTTAACCAGGAGTACGAGTAAAACCTGGAGGCTGATCTGACTCTGCTCAACAAACTGGTCCCTTTTGAGTGAAATTAGCTTGTTATGATAAAAGAACTGATGGTTTGTTCCTGTTAAACACCAGGGCAGTCACATTCATCAAATGAGTTTATAATAACATCACAGCCCTTTTTAATTTCCTGCAATTTCTCAATGAGTTCATTTCGTGATCATTGACATTCAGTTAGTAGAAAGTGATGCTGGGCACAGATTATTATAATGATTTTGTTCACTTGCAGTATTTGAAATATGATAATAAAATGTAGACTTTGTGGATAAGTGTTTGTGGTGCTTATTTTTGTACAAAAGGTGACATATGGCCTGTCTTCTGAGAGCTTGTTGAAAGTAAAAATATTTAAGTATTTTTAGTAAGCTAGGACACAAATATGCATAAAAAACAAATATGAACTGTTTGCTAAAAATACTTGTAGTTATAAGAGACCACAAAATCAAAATGAGCTTGTAGTAAATACAAAGTAAGTAAACTTTATTTCTATAGCACCTTTCACAGACAAACATCACAAAGTGCTTCACAGAAAGCAAAACTTATTAAAAACAACAAAAACAGATTACATATTCAAACAATAAAAAGCACTTAACTAAAAGCCTGTCTGAATAAAAATGTCTTAAGATGTTTCTTAAAAGAGTCAGAATCTGAGCAGTGAAGGGACAGAGGGAGAGCATTCCAGACCCTTTTATAGTACTATTATAGTATATTTGATTAAAATAGAAAGCTAAAAGTTGTGACCAATAAATAAGAATGAAGTGTGTGGGAGTGTCCCAGTCAGCCGCTGGCATGGCTCCACACAAGCCATGTTATAGGTGACGTCATTGAATTATATTGTGTAATTTTTAGGGTTTTTACTCAATATTTTATGTAATATTTACGAGTTATGTTTGTTTAAAACATTGGTTATAATGTCATGTCTGTCCTTTTATTGCAGCATACAAAAAAAAAAAAAAAGACAGGTGCACCTCTTATCAAATCAGTTACCAACAGGTGGCGCTGTGCATCATGCTGTTTGAATTCTTCCCACCGGAGCCATTTATCAGACGGACAAACACACCGGAAGTCCTCGACTGGAAGCTAGCTGCGCTTCGGTGCGCGTTTTTGTATTGTTTTTCCGCCCACAATGTCTGCTAAACTAAACGCTTTAAATAGTGATACTTACACTGAGATTAGTCAGTACAGAGATCAGCATTTTAAGGTAAGTAAAGAGAAAACTGTTCAATCGTAATGTGTTTTTTACCTCCTGAATTTGATCAATAAAAACGTCATCCGTTAGCATCAACATCGCGGCTCACGCTTTGATTTGAACCATGATGTAGCTTAAAATTTATTCATATAAAATAATAATAATAACTTCAGTTCTGTGGTTTTGAAAATTTCACAGCTAGAGGAATGCATATTTATATTTAAAGTTACCTGATATTAGTTGGGATTGTTTGTCAGGACAAAACAGCATCATGGCTGCTTAAGTTAAATGTTTTTGTTTGTTTTAACGTTTGATCTTGTTACAGTCATTCAGACGCAGCTAGTATCTGTTTATTTTTGTAGTTATTTAATGATTAAATCTTTTCTTAAAACCCACATATTCTCTCTTGTTTGCCTTTCTTTTGATATTAATGTTGACCATATATGAGTGAAGAAATGTTTTGTTATGTGGACAGGAAGTGGGCCTGTGGATGTTAAAAGTGCTTAATAAGTAAAGCTGGTATTGTATTTATTTTTACTTGTCAAACGTGTAATTATTGCATGTGTGTGTATAAATACCAAGACCCAGGATGTTCTTATATAGTGTCTGCTGATGTGGAAAACTAGATATGTTTGTATCATCAGCTTTTACTCAGTTCTTTGTGTTAAATGTGTTTCAGGGTAATCGATATGAACAAGAGAAGCTACTAAAGCAGAGCAACACTTTGTATGTTGGGAACCTGTCCTTTTACACCACAGAGGAGCAGGTAAGACATTAGCTTAATTGACAATTGAGAATGGTAAGGTGACAAAAACAAATAAAAATGTAAGTAAGTGTTTTTAAGTTTTATAACTTGTCATCCACAAAGGCATTTTGAGCATGTCGAACTTTAGAGTTTGCTGCAGACTCTTTGCAGCTATTAAGACATACTAGGGTTGGGCAATATTTGAAAAATAAATTAATCATGATTAATTGTGGTATTTAGCCGATAACGATTAATTTGATGATTAATCCCCAGGAGTCCCTGGAAACCCCTATGTCCTGGTCACATGACCAGTTTAGTGGGAAAGATTTGCTCTTCGTAAAAATATGTTCCAAATTGTGCCAGAATTACAGACTTCGGGCTTTACGTCAAATTTAAAACTGTGTTGATAAATAAATAAATACAGAACTTTATTTTTAATGTTCGTCATATTTGAAGTGGAGAGGAGCAGCGAGCGGACTGACCTGAATAATCCCCAGTCAGTCTGCCTGGTGGCATTAATCGTATTAATCATCCAGTGCTAAAAAGTAATCGATTAATGTTTTTCTGACGATTAATTGCACACACACGATTATGCCCAACCCTAAGACATACTTCAAATTTTTTGAATTATGAGTTGTTTATTTAGTGACTTTAACTCATTAACAGTATTTGCAGTTAAATGCAAACAAGACTGAAACTCTTATTATTGCCCCCGATGATAAAATCCCTGTAATCAGGCAACATCTTGCTTTTTTAACTCCTTCAGTGAAAAATAGTCTCAGAAACCTGGGTGTTGTCTTTGATAGCTCTATGTCTTTTGACAGCCATTGTAAAATTTTAGTTCGTAATTGTTTTTATCATTTAAGGAACATTTCAAAGCTGAGATGTTTTGTGTCACAGARGGAACTAGAGATGGTTGTTCACGCTTTTATTTCTTCTCGTTTAGATTACTGCAACAGTCTTTTTACATGTCTAAACAAATCCTCCTCGGCTTCAGTCTGTGCAGAACGCTGCAGCGAGTTTATTAACAAAGACCCACAGGAGAGCCCACATTACACCTGGTTTAGCCTGTCTGCACCGGCTCCCTGTGACTTTCAGGAGTCATTTTAAAATGTTGGTTTTAACTTTCAGAGCACAAATGCTGCTGGTGGTCCCTCAAACCCATTATAAAACCTGTGGAGATAGATAGCTCAATCAGTCACCTTTTATTTAACCAGATAGAGCCCATTGAGATCAAGATCACTTTGACCTGGTCAAGAGGTCAGCAGCACACATCACAGGGGAGTTGACGCAAAAGTTTACATTGTAGAAAAGAAAAATAGACATAAAATACAGCAGTATTGAACCAATTCAGACAATGAGTGGTACAAACAATCTAGATGAGGCAAAGTAGTAATCTAGGCGTTGACAGTAGTTTCAAGACTTAATGACATTTGAGACTTAAATTACCAAGTTTAGGTTGAGTACAGACTGAACAATAGAGGTAACACACGTACAGCAGACAAATAGTGTTTTAAGGCACAGTGTGTATGATTTTGTCAATTCTTTTAGCCGAAATTGAGATAATCACTAAAGACAATAATAAAAAAACATGTCTAATCATTGCAGACAAAGACCTTGTTTATTATTTTTACCTTATAAAAAGCTGTTTATATCTCCATGGTCGCGGGTCGCCACACAGGCAGCCGCCATCTTGCACCACCATCTTGTCTTCAAAGGCTCATGAAGGACAAACTGCGGTGGCGGCGTCAAAAACGGTTTTAGTTGTAATACTATAAATGTAATATTTGTTGTCTGTCATTGCAGCTGGGATAATTTTACTTATTAAAGCTCATAATCTTACCACTTGAAACATCACTAGCCCTGAAGCTGCTGGTAGACATCGCGGTTGGAATTATCAAAGGTTTTTGACACCTGAGAGACACCGTAGCAACTCCTTTGTGTTTGGAAGCAGGGGGTGGGGGTGGGGGGAGGACCAGGGAGGATGATTCAACCACTCAACCACTAGATGTCGCTGAAAACAACAAATCCTACACACTGTGCCTTTAAGACAAACATAGGCAGCTATCAAACCTCTAAAGCTTTTCAGGTGGTGGCCCTGAGGCTCTGCAGCGCTCCTCCTCTGTCCCTTCACTGCTCATATTCTACTGACTCTTTAAGAAACATCTGAAGACATTTTTATTCAGACAGGTTTTAGTTGTGTTTATTGTGTTTTAATAGTATTTTTTATATTTGTGATCTGTTTTATTGTTTTTAGTTTTCTTGCTCTCTGTTAAGCACTTTTTGATGTTTGTGTCTGTGAAAGTTGCTATAGAAATAAAGTTTACCTACTTACTTACTTAACAGGTACATGAGCTGTTTGCTAAATGTGGTGATGTGAAACGCATCATCATCGGTCTGGATAAAGTCAAGAAGACAGCCTGTGGGTTCTGCTTTGTCGAGTATCCTTTAAGACCTGCCTCAAACTAAAGAAAGTTTATTTATATTTATGCACAGTTTTTTTTTTACACGTGTCTGACTTTTTTAATGAGGGTCCAGTTTACTTGAGAACAAAGTGTAAACGGCATTCCATACAAGGTTATAATAGTTTTTGATTTTTCATTATAGTTTAGTTTTATTTAGTTGTGACATTTTTTTCTTTTAATTCAGTTACCGTATTTATTCAAGTATAAAACGTAAAATTTACCCATAAAATCATGCACAAAGTTGGGGGGTAGTACTATACTCGGATAAATATTTTTGCTGATGTATTTTAACTGAAATATCGGCTTCATTCTCAAAATGCCTGAGTCCGGAAATGCAAACCTGTTGAAAAAGCGGTTGAAGCGATCTTACCTCTAAAACTCCTTTGTGCCACCGAGCAAGATAGTAACAGATCCAAGCAGCAACATGATGTGAAAAAAAGGCAGTCCTGCAACTAATGATAACAAACTGATATTAGTGTGCGACCGGGCCGCTCCTGAGACAACAACAAACACACGTTCGTCTGTAATGGCTGCCGTCTACCGGTGTTCTGTAAAAGTTGGTCTACCTGAAAAAAGTTTCCCCACCAGAGGGGGCGCTCACGAAACACAGAGCATGAGATTGTTGTTGAGTGGGATTCTGATGCCTTTATTACAGAGGAGGAATACCAGAAACTTTTAATGATACTGATGATGRTGAGCCTGATTTTGAAGGCTTTGATTCAGCTTCATTCTCACTTGTTAGAGCCACAGAGCTCTGTTTGTTATATCACACCAGTTAACAAATGAACATTTGATAGTTTTTGTTGTAGTTATACATTTGTTGTTGTGTACCTTTTTAGTACATATGTTGTTAAAATGAAATCAAAAACTGATACAACAGTCAAATGATATATATATATATATATATGACTGCAAAGTCTGAAAAATCCTGAAGTCCAAATGAAATTAGAGGTAGTATGAGAATTACATTTTTATGCTTTTTAAGATAAAAATGGGGGGGTCGTATTACACATGAGATCGTATTATACACGAATAAATACGGTAGTTTTAATTAGTTTTTAGTGTGGATTTGCTAGTTTTTATTAGTTATTATTGCATTTTTAATGCTTAGTTTTAGTTTAGCTTTTATTATTTCTAGTATTAGTTATTTTTGTAGTTTGAATAAACATATTTGCCAATGCATCCTCCAGCTTGAAGTGTTCCTGTGAGTTCACTAACCAGCAGTTTTTTGATCACCAGTCAAAGCAGTAAGTTATAGCAACACCTTCCTACTTCCTACTCAGTTAATTAGTCCCTTGAGAAGTATTCCACCTATTATATTACCTGTTTCCACTACAAGACGCTTTTATTTTTCTCACATTCGTATTCAAAGACATCTCAAATCGGACTTTACTACTTTCTCCCAACTTTTGTTGTCATTTTGCGGGTGAGCTCTGAGCAGCAGCAGACTGTAAACAGGGGACGTTACGGTCCATGATAGTAAGCTGCTCAGTTTGAAGAAAAAAAAGATTAGTTTAATCAGTCCACACAGCTCAAAATAAATTGACAAACACTAAAACTAAGGATATTTTATCTATAATTTCAGTATTTTTGTGAAAAGATTATACAGTTTTAGTTATTTTCATTTTATTACAGTTTATTTATTTTAGTTAACAAAAATGTTTTTTCAATTTCAGTTTTCGTTATTTAGTTAGTTTTAGTTAACTATGAGAACCCTGGTTCCTTAGCTGCTTTTGCACCAGATACTACACACGAGGAGACGCTGAGAACGCCATGCGCTTCGTTAACGGCACCCGACTGGACGACCGCATCATCCGGACCGACTGGGACGCAGGCTTCAAGGAGGGCCGGCAGTACGGCCGCGGGAAATCTGGAGGACAGGTGAGGTTATGGTGCTCAACCCTCGCACCTGCTTCTCTTTTCCTTTGATACGTATGTGTAGTTGTCGCAAGCTTATTGTGACCTGCGGCTCCGTGTCGTTCTCCCGTAGGTGAGAGACGAGTACAGGCAGGACTACGACCCGGCCAGAGGCGGCTACGGTAAGCTGGCTCAGCAGCATCGATCCACAGATGTACGCAATTCGTTTTAGACTCGGTCCCAGCGGCGGTCTGCTTGGACTCCACTTGGAAGAGAACATGCCAACAACATCCTACAGAAAAAAAAAGAAAAGCAAACAAAACTCTGGACATTTTTATATCTGAAGCTTCAAGGTGGACAACTCGGACACGAAGTCACCAACAATAAGAATGTCCACAGTGGCTTTTATTCATGCTCGTCAGGTTTAAACCATTGTCCAATGTAGCACAGGCTGGAGGAAATTCAAACCAGATATTTTTTCTGTTTTGACAATAATGTTTTAAAACACTCAGATTAATATTTCATCGAGCCATTTCTGTGTATTTCTAATAGGAATAATAGAAACAGTGGATTTATTAGTTTACTTGAATGAAAGTTTGTCACAAATGAGCTATGATTTTTTTTTCCAATAAAATGTTTTTGTTTAAGAGATTTTGACTATGAATTAATTGTTTTATTATTATTTTAAATTGGGGTGGTAAATGCACACTTTTAAAACCACAGCGACAAATTTGTGATAAATTTCTGTTTGTGACATTTTAATATCTGAGCTGTCGACAGTTTACTGGCTTCAGACTTTGTTACGAACCGTCTGTTTATGTTTAGAGCTTTAAGTGCAAAGCCTGGAAATAATAAAAAAAGATTTGAAGTCCTCCAGACTGTTTTATATGAATCCCCATCACACTGCATTAAAAGGTGAAAAAATATTTTTGGTAACACTTTATTAGACTGAAATGACAAACATCCCAGGTGAAAAAACATTATACTAAGTATACTAAATCTAAGTATACTTGAAGCCGCACTACTCATCAGTATACTTAAAGAGTGCTATTTTGGAACAACTAATTTAATACTAAATATTCTTTAGTTGTATTTAAGTTGTACAAAAGCACAATTTTAATTGTATTAAGTATACTTTTAAATGCTAAAATGGAACAACTTTAAATATAATTAGTACACTAAGTGCATAGACAAAGAGTTACACTTCAAGTGTACTAAATATATTTTAAGTTGTTCCATTGTAGTATTTAAAAGTGTACTTGATACACTTAAAATTGTGCTTTTGTACAAGTTAAATACAGCTAAAGTATATTTAGTATTTAAATTAGTTGTTCCAAAATAGCACTCTTTAGGTATACTGATGATTAGTGCGGCTTCAAGTATACTTAGTATAATATTTTTTCACCTGGGGTGATTGTATCACATGTCAAATTGTCCTAAAGACATTTTTGTCCCCCATCTCCAAGACAGGGTACTTAAAGTGTCTTACCCCCCTTGTGAAAATATAACTCCGCCCCAAGGCGAAATTTGAAAAATGCATCAAAGTGGGTAGGGGAGGGGGGGTTAGAGAGCGGAGGTGTGGCCAGGACGAGAGAACGTGGCAGCTAGCATTAGCATAATTGATGCTACATGGAGAGTGACCACAGCGACACAGATAGTTACATCTCTGAACGGTCTGAGGTGGAGGATTTTTCACCCCCCTCCTCACCAGAGGCAGAGAGACTTGATCAAGTCAGCTCAGTCTGGGACTGACTTGTGTTGGCTCCGATCAGGACATGAAGCTCCAGCAGCCTCGGCTGAGCTGTCCGCCTCACACCACACCAGCTCCAGACAGAGGAGGAGGAGCGCTGTGCGACAGCCTGACATAAAAAAATAAAAGCATACAGCTGCAGCTGCTCACAAGATTGCTAGTTTAAATCAGGAATAAAAGTGTTGAGTCTTGTTTGACTGAAGTTCGGTCCGTTAGGGCTGCAGTTGCCCCGCTGCCTTTCTGCCCTTTTTTCCTCTCCTGCTGTGCAGGACATAGTGTGTGTGTGTGTGTGTGTGTGTGTGTGTGTGTGTGTGTGTGGAGAGACAGACAGAGAGAGAGCAGCGCAGCAGTCAGCTCTCCCCACCCGAGGCTGAAGGTCAACAGACGATCATGCTAAGCTTGCTAACTGTTCCACCCTCTGACTGCTGCAGGGGCGTGTCTTAGAGAGAGGCTTTTATACCAGAACACAGCCGCTGTGACGAAACCGTGGAGAAGACACGTCACCGTGGAGAGCCGTTAACCAATATGCAAATTAGCCTGCAGTACCACTGCTCTACCTATATGAGCAGCAAAAAAGACGTTTTTAGACCAAATATTACAGATTTGAACAAATACTCACAAAAACAGCAAAATTAGCACAGGAACAGTACTATATAACATTTTAGACACATTCTAGACAGTTTATCAGCAAAAAAAAAGTTAATTTTGGGATAAGTTACTCTTTAATGCTCTCCTCACAACAGGAAGTGACTTTTTTTTGCCTTGGAAAGCTCCATCTCTGATCCACTTGATCTAATCAGTAACAAATTGTGAGCACAGAGAAGTTGATCTCACTTCAAGCACAAAGACTTTAATGGAAGGCGTGGTCATGGCGGTGCGGCGAAGTCAGACATCACGCCATTGATGTACGTTTGGCTCTAAATTCCACTTATTTCAGCCAATCAGCACCAATTTCACTGTGGTCAGTCCTCATTCTCCCCACTGCAGGAATACCGTCCAATTTTTGGAGGGCGTGGCCTAATTAGACATCATGCTGTTAACGAATGGTTGGCTCTAAATCACAAAAACATGATCAGATCTGAACCAAATGCTGTGTGCATCATGAGGGAGACCTGCTCAACACGTTTGTGTAGTTTGACAAGATCACTTTAGCCCCCCGTCCGTCTGTTCACCTTATGAGATGATTTAACTAACGAAGGCCTGTGATGATTCCAACAAAACTCCTAACGGCAGACGTCAGCGTTCAGTTCTATTATGTAGTCTTGGTTAATGTCAAGTTGTCATAACCATTGCATTTTAAACAACGTCAACTTTGCAATAAACGTGTCATAATTTACTGAATGATGACAGACATAAACATTTAAGACATGTTGTGTCAGTCTTATCCAGTCTTACCCCTTCAAATAAAATGCTACCAAATATATTTGACCATAAACTCTCAATTAAAAATACAGTGTTGTTTAAATTTCCTGCACCATTTTCTCTTTGGCGTATTTAAAGATATATTTCGGTGTTTAGCTTGTTTTTTTTTACGTTTTGCAATTTATTAAATTGCCTGTTTTATCATCAATGTTACAATTTATTTATTTACACCATCCTTGTTTTCAGCTGTAATTGTTCAGGGCTGTGTTCCTTTGTAAAAGTAACATTTTTATTGAGCACTGGTCGATTTTATTTAATAAAAAGACGAAGCAAGTTCAGGAGCAAAGTAGAATTCTAAAAAGTGAACCTGTTTTGATTTAATTTTTTCTCTCCTCCAGAGATAAGTGCTAAAAACTCACCAGGTTTAAATCAGTGCAGAGAATTTTTTCTCTGAAGCACATTTTCAAACTGAACACAAGATGGCAGGAGAGGAAGCAGAGTTCTTATCAGAGGAACCAGGATGTCTGGTTCTTAGTGAAGTAAAAAAAAAAAACTTGGCTTTTATTTGAGCTTTTTTGTTTGCGATTATAACTCAGTACTTTGTTCAGAACACTAATTCATCTAGATAAAAACAAAAAACAAACTCTGGCTTGTAGAGCAACGATTCAGTTTTTTTGTTTAAACTTGGAGCAGGCCAAAGCTTTGAAACAAAACCTTTTTGTTTCTGGATCATTGATGCTTGTAACCAAATAGTTTTTTGCCCGAAGCATAACACAAACTGAAGTTTCCTTTCAGTTTGTGTAGTCAGTACTTCATACAATATATTGTACTGTCAGTACAGAATACTGTAGGTGCGTGAACCTAATCTGTCAGTGCAGAATAAAACTGTTTAAGACTTGGGAATGAAAACAGTATATGGAGGACCGAAACTGACATCATTAGAAATAAAAACAGACATATAAATTGACCAATAAATAAATACACTTCAAATGTTCCAAATAAATTTGCATTTTACTGTTTTTATTTTTTCTTGCACATGCATTTTTGTCTCTTAAATGACAATTTATTTTTATTTTTTTATTTTTTTTTACTTTTTTAGCTTGTGTTGCCTAAACTGAGGCAGCACCAGCTGTGTGTGTGTGTGTGTGTGT